CTACCCGAAACAAAGTTAAAACATTGGTTGAATTACTTTTATAGTGTCATTTATCAAAATAAATTTACTGAATGTTAAAGTCTTTTAATTAGTTATCAGATTAATTACGATATAGGCCAAGACTTAAACCTGGACCAATGGATCTGCCTCCTTATACATAACTCGAATTACAAAGATATTTTCTTCACAAATAAATACACAGTCCATTGTTGTGGTTATCTAGTTGATTCTTAAAACATAACTTAATTGATCCTCACGGTTCACTGATTTTTTTACAGTTATTATAATGCACTGAAAAGAAAGAATTTCAAAGCTTTAGTGAATTATTTGGATTTTATATAATGCTATTTAGATATTATGTCCACTGCAGCATCATTGTGTGAAGATTTATCTAAGAACTTGAACATATAAATTACCTTTCATTTGTGATGATGTGGAGATCTTGTTTTTGTAAGCATATTCCAATAACATCTGCACAAATTTGAGAATATTTGTATTAGCTATAGAATCACAAATTCACAACATTATGATCTATAAGACTTCTGGAAGATTTATTATCTACTGGTTTTCTGACTTTTCTCTAATCCACAATGCAAAAACTGAAGGCTCGGTAGTTTCAAATCGTTGAAATTTGAATCACTTTCAATCATCATTAACCTAGGTGATTCAAATTGCAGAGCATTCAACCTGTTACAATAATGTTAGATAGTCCATGCTTACTACTTAAAACATTTAATATATTTGACATAAGAATATCCTACAATGTTAATTGCTAGATGAGATACAATGGAAGTAGGATGAGATTAGTACATATAAACTTATCATGATTCATAGGAAAAAAAAAAACAGTAACAGTTGTTCCCTGCAATGTTTTTGATTAAAAATAACCAATAAAATTTAGAGAAAACAATTAAAAACAATTTGTCGAAAAACAATTAAAAGAAGGATTTGAAGCAACAATGCCCTATTTGACTTGGTTCATGGGTTCTTACAGAAAATTTGAGGAATTGAAACAGAAGAAGGAGTTAGAAGTCTGGAAGAACAGAAGAAGTTGTACTTCTTATCTAACGATGTATATCATTATATATGAGTGGATTTGAAAGTTGTACACTTATTTTAGTAAATCAATGAACTTCAATATGCATTCAATCAGAGGAGTTACACATGCGAGTCAATGTAAACGAATTGATGAGCACATGAAACAATAATATAAACCTTCTAAAAAAAAAATCAGACGACTTCAATATGCATTCAATCAGAAAAGCAACAATAAACGGGACCAATTGATGAGCACTAATTGCAAAATAAAAACTAAAACTGATTGTAAGTACTTAGAGTGATCAATTGGGTCTGTATTGAAGGAGAAGACCAAGAGTAGAAGAGAGAAGTTCAGATTAACATAATTGAAGAGAAATACATGAATTAAAAAACAGAGAGATCTATGCAATTTATTGAAATAGAAGAGAAATTTAAGAATGAGATAACCAAAACTTAGAAGAGAACTAAACATGTAAGGGAAGGTAATTAAGGTTTCTCCAAACTTCTTTAAGTCTTAATGTCAGATAGTTAGTAGTGGGTCTAAATCTTAAATTTGGGTCTAAATTGGGCTTTTTCAAATTAAGCCTTGTTTTCAAATAATGCCACGTGGCAACTGGTTATAGAGTATAGATAGATTGGTCGTTGGTGTCAGTTTGTCAGCACTAATTTAACATACTTTCCCTCCAACTTTTTTTCAGAATAAAGCAAAACATAATTAATGCTAACATGCGCTAGGAAGTTTGTACCCACGTACCAAACATGGCCCACTTACCGAAAATTACTCGTGATTGGTTCGAGTCGGCATACCCCAGCAGAGAAGGACACAAACTGGTCCTACTAGATCTGAACCATCGGTGGCCCGTGAGGCGTGAGCACTTCACTCTCTAGTGTATTTTAGCCAAAACTGCTTCAACCAGGTGCCGACTTTTTAAACATATACTCGTATCAGTTACGAAAGCAAAGAAGACTTTAAAATAAGTGGAGAGAGAGAGA